TTGACAGGCATGTTTTGAGCACCAATTATGTGCCAGGCTCAATGCTGGGGACAAAGACGTGAGAAGGGAGACTCCTTTAGGGCAAGAGAGGAAGGAATGGTAATAGAGAAACACCATTGCGTGGAAGCCCTAAGTTGGCCCCTTGCCAGGTGTCAGAGAAGGCTTCCTGGAGGGAGAACCCTGCACTGAATCTTAACCAAAGAGAGGGCGTTAACCAGGGCAGAAGGGTAGAGGCACATCTTTGGGCCGAGGGACCAGTATGGACAAAGGCCTAAGGGCCAGGTGTGTGCTGTGGGAGAAAGCACAAGGCAGGGGTAAAAGGAAAAATCCCACTCATTGAGTGCCTCCACGGTGGCAGGCATCAGGTCCTCACAGCGGCACTCGGGCCACAGCTTGTCCGAGCTGGTGCCGGCAGGACTCATTCACGTTGTGCCTGGGCTTCCTGGTGCAGCTTGCCACCTTGACATGCCCACGCATCAGGGAGCTGACCGGTACCGTACCTTGTGAGAGACGTTAAGGTGCTGGATAGGATTCTGACTTGCTAAGAGTGGGCTGATGTGAACAACATACTCCATTTATACATCTTCTCCCCTGCTAAAGACTTTGAAAATCAAATACTCCCCAAGCTATGGAAACTCAACCACTGCTGATTGTTAAGACTTTATTATTATAATCACCCGGCCCAATTCCAGCCACCACGGGCTGAACAATGGGCCATTGAAGCTGTGCGGAGGTCTTGCCTCCCATCCACCCTCTCCTGCAGGCAGGAGCCTAGCAGTGAGGCCTCCGTGGGTAGGGTGGCGGCGTGGCTGCACCATTGCACCCCACAGGGACTTCTGGGGGGTCTGGGCATTGGTTTTCTCACTCATCAAGTGGGAGGCCTGAAAAAAACACATCCGGACGTTGCTTTGATCGCCTCACATTCTGTCTCCTATATCAACCCTGGTAGCTCAGGAGCTAATTACTCCTGCTTTGGAGGAATTTATGGGTATGAAAATTCTTCAAAGATGCTAAAGGCCACAAGGTACCATGAACTGTTCTCACCACACGTGGCCTGTGTGCCTCTCTAATGGAACTATACAATGGGAGCCTGTGAGGTGCCCCATGCTGGGGTGCTCACACACATGTGCCTGGTGCCCAGTGCCTTGGGAGCCACGGCTGGGTCAGTGGCCAGTGGTCGGGGCAGGGAGCTGGGCCCAGCTGGTTCCTGACCCCTTCCCCCCAGCTGCTACATAACAAGGTCACACGGTCTCGTTTATGGTCCTACTTTATTCCCATGCATTTGGTGTTACTTGATCATCAGTTATAAGCCAAAAAGATCCAGATTTTATTAGAAAAAAATAAAAAAGCTCAATTTCATGGAGCTCCTAGGACTGATCACTGTCCCATGAAACCCTAGAGGCCAGGACCTCGGCAGGCTTGAGGTGGGCCTGCCTTGCCCATCATCTCTGCTGTTGCCGCTGGTTTTGAATTTCCTGCCCGGACCAGCTAGGCTGCTGAGGGCTCAGCTATTTCCTGACCTCACCCGGGCTCATCAGGGTTGGATCTTCACCCTGTGGGTGCCCAACTCCCTGTCCTGTTCTAGTGGGGGGTCAGCTCCAAACACAACAGGCATAGGGGAGGGGGTCCTCTTACTGCCCGCTCCAGTGGTGCTGGGACGTCTGCTGGGACCTGGTTTGGGTTTCGGGATTAGGGAAACCCGAGCACCGTAGCACGTTGGAGCTAGGATTAGGCGAGCTCAGCTCTAAGATGCTTTGCTGAGCCTCGTGGGCCCACTCGGCAGCTTCTTCACTGCCCTTGCAGGCACAGGTGCTTGGCCGGGGACCAGGACGTGCAGGGCTCCTGGAGCCCTCAGTGGCAGGACCAGAAACCTGAGAGCTTGCTTGGAGCTGGGGCGGCAGATGGGGGAGGAGTGGGCACAGGGCAGAGTAGGCAGCAGGTTAGGCCTGCCCAGACTGGGTCTGCAGGGGAGTGCACTGGGCTGTACTGCCCCGAATATGTGACACCCAGGTCTGAAAGCTGCAGCCTGTGCCGTCCCATGATCAAGTACATGCAGAACAAGAAGCAGCATCTATAAAATCGACCGAAAGCCCTGCCCACCCTGACCCCTTCCTAGTGCATCACTTTTGGAGTCACTCAGCCCTGCCTATGCCTGGTAGGGATCCTTAACTGGGGGCACCGGGACCAACCCCTCCACACTCATATATATGACTTGACTTGTCCGCATGAACTAACATCTCTTCCAGTTCTCCTGATTATCAATCTCTCGGCAGTTCTTGCCTGTTGAAGAATCATTTATTTTTTTTAATTGTGGAATTGGGGGATGGGAACAGCGCTGGGGAATTGGCGGAAGGGGAACAGACAAGTTGCTGTCCTTTGGTTCTTCAGTCTAGTTGTGGAGGACATTGCTTCACTGGCCCAAATTGGAACCATCATTGCGCTCTTCCCTGGCGAGGCAGATCAGTCGCAGGCTTCTGGATGGCCGCTCACGCTGGCTGCTGGCTACACACGGTAGCCCATGGCAACCCACTGCAGCAGGAGCTGCAGCCTACGCCATCGCTGTCGCTGGCGACTCACAGCAGCCCAGCTCCAGGTTGAGCTGTTGTTCAGCATCTTAGCTGTAGAGGGCAGTGTCACTGGCCCTCATATGTGGGATCTGAACCGGGGTCCTCTGGCATCCCAAGCCAGCTCTTAACCAACGTGCCACTCGGCTGGCCCTGAAGAATCTTAAAATAACTGTCTGGCTATTCCCAAAGCCAGAACACTTGTAGCTGGACTTGGCCTGAGTGCACCTGTGCAGCTCCTCCCTTCACCAGCCTTTCTGAGGGGCACCTGGCATCTCAGCTCCCCCACAGTCCTGCCAGCCTGGGTAGTGGGCAGCACAGAACTGGTGTCTAGACAGTTTTGGGAAGCCCTCCTTCTGGAAAAAAGCCCAGCAAAGAAGTCACTCGGTGGAGTGTTAGGCACCTCTCTCAGCCTGGGCATGCAGAGGGCCGGGAGTGGAGGAACCTCCCCCACCTGTGTTTGGCAGTGACTGGCCCACATTGTTCACTGCGTGCCCTGACCAGGGCCCAGGGGTGGGCCCACCTCGACCAGGGAGGCACTGACGAAGAAGGAAGTGGGTAGGCAGAGGATAGGGCAGGCTTGGTCAGGCTGGGCAAGGAGGGGACCAGGCCCAGTGGAGGGGCACGGAGGGACACCAGGGTGGGGAGGGAGGGAAAGTGGCTCCCAGAGCGGACCTAGGAGGCTCAGCTGTGGCGAGCAACTCTGGGAAGGAGTGGCTCCTGGTGGCCCGTCCCTGGGCACTCTGATGAATTGGTAAGAACCAGACACCAGCGTGTGCACTTCCAATGAATGATGTGAGTGTAGGGTGGTCAGTCCATGCAAGGAGCCCCCTCACCGGGGTGGCCCGGGTCACCGGAATAGGGTCCAGAGGGCTCAGCGATATGCTGTGGAGGCCATGGGTCTCTCAAGATGGCACAGCCCCCTACCAACACATTGCCCAGCTGACTCAGGGCATCCCTCTTGCAGGGTCCTGGGTCACCTGCATTGCGGCAGCTCCAGCAGCTCTGTACCCAGCAGTGAACTGTAAATGAGAGGTTCAGGCCTGTTTTGGGCTGGGGAGTAGGCCGGGGCCCAGGGCACTGCCTATGCCTCCAAGCTGTTGCCTGGGCTAGGTGAAGTGAGGCATGTGGCCAAGATGCTGTGGGACAAGCCACCCTATGGTTCTTGGAGGCAAGCCCAAACCTGAGGCCATAGGCACAGACACCCTGATCATTGGCACCACCTGACGCCCACCTGTTTCTCACAGGGCAACTCTGCCTGCAATGGCCCCTGGCTTGGCACAGTGGTCACTTCCTCAGCCAGGCCTCCCCAAGCTGCGTTAAAGCATGGCTGATAACACATGGGTTGGTAGGCTGCTACCACCGAGCAAAGCTGGGGGTCTGGGCAGGGCTGTGGGAGGCCGGGGGGGCACCAGCAGCCTGCGGAGGATTTGGAGGGGGACTACAGGCTGAGCATCTTGGCCACCTCCTATGAGCTGATTCCCCCTTCTGCACCCCCAATGTCAGTCCCAGATCCCCTCTTCAGGCCAGGCCTGTCCCTCACGTGTCTTGCCCCTTCTGTCCTCAGTCCAGCCCTGGATAACTGCTGGTCCCTACCCTGTGTACCTGCCTTCCAAAGGGCCTCGGAACTTTCAGGGATAGCCCTCAGGGGAACAGGGGAGGAAGAGGAATGGTGGCTAGCCAGAGGGTGACCTGCGTGGCTTCAGAGCCAAGGGTGAGGCAGGGAGGGGGTGGTTTGGCCTCTGAATGGGCCAATCTCGAACCATACGCAGAAGCATGCAGGATGTCAGTGGGGGTAACTGTAGATTACATGAAACAATATGAAGAATTAAAATCATATTTTCACTGCACCATAAAAACACATAAAGGCGGCAGGAAGGCGGCCCTGGGGCCAGGTGGAGAGCACCTGGTCTGTAGTGCTCCGGCCCCTCAGTGAGCCTGGAACCAGGTGGTCTCGACAAGTGCAGTGCGAGAGACGCAACTCAGCACGTCTGTCCTGCCACCAGTGCTCTTATTTAGACTTGAGACCCACATGCACAGTGGGCCCTGCCCTGAGTGAAGCGGCTGTCCATATGTTCTGCCACACCGGGGCCCTGGGCTCTCATCCCCAGACCCCACAAGAGTAGTGAGTGCATGTGGGATGTCCAGGTCGCTGGGCCCCATGGCTGGCAAGCGTGTACTGACATAGTACGTGGCCCCAAAGTGGCCCAGGTGGCAGTAGTCGCTGAGGCCAGGCCCTTTGTAGCAGGATTTCACCTGGAATGCTCACTGCTCATGAACTGGGCCAGGCCCCTGCCCACCTTTTATTGGAAGGGTGTGAGCCCCAATTTTGGAGAGCTGGTGGGTCTGGGGACTCCAGGACAGGGGCTGTGGAGCCTGAGGGCCACACAGGCGGCATTTCCCAAGAGATATTCCATGCACCTGCAGGACTGGGGGTGCCCAGTACCAAGGATGCTTTATTCTCTTCTAGGTGATGGCACAGGCCAAACACAGCATGGAGAGTGGGCATTACAGACACAGCAGGTGAGTTAGAGCCAGGTCCATGCTGGGGAAAGGGGCATGTGTGGAGAAAACCACCAGGGGGCCCGCGGGGACACACATGTGGATGGCACTCTGCCTGCCAGTGATGGGCACTCCTGGTCCTCAAACCAGAGAGGTGCCTGGTGTGTACTGAGGGTTCCCATACAGGTGGCATCATTTCCATTATTATGAAAAACAACAAGGCCATTTCAGGTACCTTGTTCGCCCCAAGGCAGGGGTCGATCAATTGAGGAATCTGAAGCCCCTTCCTGTGCCTTGGCAGCCCGTGTTAGCTGACCTCTGCAGACCTCACCTTTGCCTCCAAGGCAGGGGAACACCTCATCCCAGTAAAGAGGTGGCCCTCCCCGCAGGATACAGGTAGGGGCGCGCCGCCAGCCGTGCGTTAAATGGGACATGGGTGAGCTCTCACTGCACTTGTCGAGAGGGCCTGGCCCAGCCCAGCACTTGGCATCTTAATTGGGCGTCTGAGAGAGCTCCTGCACACGCTTGCTTCACACGGAGAGTCTGAGGCTCCCATAGGCCCATTAAGGTGCAAAGACATTCCTTTGTTTGCTGACAAGCAGGGTCCCATCCAGGGCTCCCGGGCCGGCAGACTAAGTGATGTTTTCTTAAGAAAGACACCAGATTAACCGCCGCTAAAGCCTCAGCACAATGCCGGGCCCTGCCTGTCGCTGTCAGCGCTGTCTCACTGGGGTGACTGACAGGTGCAGCCGGTGCCGACGGGCTCTCCCTGGGCCCATCAAGCTTCAGTGGGCAGGATTAGCCTGAGCACAACCGACAAGCTGACTTGGAGGCCACCATGGAAACATAATGAGGTGCTTGACATTCAGGGGGCAGAAAGCCTCCAACACCCCTGCCCACTCCTGTTGCTGGGCTACACCGTTGGCGGGATGCTCTGGAACGAAGCCCTCCTAAGCACCTGCAGGACCTGCAGAGACCTGGACAGAGGGCCCCAGGAGGGATCCCCTGGGGTCTATACCAGGGGGGACATGGTCAGGGTCTTCCCAGGAGTGACTGCTGGGAATGAGGTGATGCTACCCTACCTCCCATCAAAGCACAACTTGGAAGCAGTTCCCAAATGACGGAGGGAGGTGATGAAGGGGAGAGTGTGATGGGCTGGGTGGCCAGGCCCCATCTCTGCCTGAACTATCCTGGGGGGCATGTTGGGGATGCCACAGGCAGGGCATGCTTCAGGAAAACACCCTCTTTATTTGTACTCCAGAAACACCAGGGGGATCGGACATGGGCAGCCCACGGGGTGGGTTTCTGCACAGGTCGTCATTGACTGGCATCCGGGGCCTGGCAGGGTTGGCCCAGGCAGGAGGGGGTGTGAGGTACAGGTGCGGGGGCTGATAGCCCCCGGGGAGCCATCCCTGCAGGACACATGGGCAGTCCATCCAGAAACGCTGCCCCACGCAGTCTAACTCAAGGGCTCTCCAGGCACGGGTGAGACTCGCCTGGGCTTGGTTTCCATTGTCCTGTCAAAGATGGGGAGTCAGCACGTGGAGGCCACACCATCCCTGCATTCACCTGGTCAGGTCTCTCATGCCCACACACAGGAACCTTCTTAGGGCAGATGAGAAACAAGCCCTAAAGAGAGTCCTCACTCCTCCTCCCCCAGGTTGATGCGTCACAGGGAGCACTGTACTGTGAAAAATATTTTGAAATGATAAAAATTTATGGCACACTCTTAACAAAACATCTGTTAGATGTGACATTCTGATAAGAATTTCCTCAGGATGCCCTTTTTTTGTCCATATCTGAGGCAGCCCTGGCTGGGGGTCCATGGTGGAACAGATGCTCAGAGTGACCCTGGGGAGGCCCTGGGCCCACTGCCCATGGGACCCTTGGCCACTGCTCGTCCCCTCACACTTGCCCTCGGAAGCTGGAAGATGTTCAGACTGAGAGATGAAAGGCCCTGACCACAGGCATCCCTTCAGCAGGGGTCAAGGAGGGTCTCACTAATGTCTTCCTCCTCAGAAGAAGGTTGGGATCAACAACATAGCTAGAGGCTCCTGGCTGCCGCCCACCCAGTCTGACTTTGCGAAGCTCTAACAGAACCAGCTGTGCAGTGGCAGCCGTGCACAAAGCAGCATCTCCACCTTCTGGGCAAGATAGAAACAAGCCAGCGCTGCTCGGTGTGGAGCAAGGCGGGAATGGGAGCACTCCAACCCAGAGGCCCACTTAGCTCAGTCTGAGGGACATTTTCTATACCTAGGTCCTAGCTGGGACAGACCACCTGGGACAGGATGTGAGCCCATCCTCAAGACACGTCCTGCATGTGGGGAGCAGCGGCAGCCAAGCCAGGGTCTGGGGGTACTCTGGGGGGTGAGGGGGTTGGGTAGAGCCCTCAGTGGCCTCCCTTTCCAGCCCCGTTTCTTTGGCCACTGTGGCCTGGGCCCAGGGCTCACCTGTCTGAGGTGGCATGGCAGGTGCAGCCTGCCACATTCCTGTAGAGCAGTTCGCAGTGGCACCCTACCCCCCTCCCATCACTGCTCTGCCCTTACATGGAGTCCACTGCCCCTCATGTGTACCTGGATCTGAGCCTCCGAAGGCTGAGCTGTGGGGGCAGCAGGTGTTCTGTGTGCCCTGGGCCTGGCAGGGATGGCAGCTTACCCTCAGCAGCCCGTCACAGTGGGGTCCAGGCCTGAGCGCTTGGAGATGCGCAGCTTGGCCACCTCCTCGGCACAGGTGGGGTGGATGCCCACCGTCTGCATCACCTGTGCGTAGGAGGCCCCACACCTACATGCAAGGGGAGGGGGAGAATCAGGCAGTGCAGGGAGACATGTTCACGTCACTCTGTCCCCGGGAAGGTGGCACATAGGAGAGGGCCTTGGAAGTCTTGGTCTCCTCACCATCCACCAGCCCTGGCCTCCACCCTCTCTCCTCCAGCCAGCAGCCAGGAACACCTGCCAATACCTATTGGACTCGTCCCATCTCCCTTCAAGGAAATGCCTGGTGCCTGCACTGGCCAAGCAGCCCCGCCTCGAGCCCACCTCCCACCTGCCCCTCCCTCATTTGCTCCAGCCTGGCCTCATGCTGCTCCCAGCCCACCAGGCACAGCCCTACTTAGGTGGTGGCCCCAGCTGGTCCTTCTGTGAGGCCCGCTTCCTCACTCCACCCAAGCCCACTTATTACCGCAGCTTGTACCCCCTCTCCACCACCCCACCCCAGCCCTGCTCCTCTGCTCTGCATCCAGCATTTGTCACACATGAGCCCCTGCGAGCTCAGCAGCAACCACCCCCCATGCACTGTTCACTCCTTGGGACACAGTGCATGTGGACGCTCCACAGGGTATATCCCTAACGTTTGCAGACAAGGCTGCAACAAGCAGCTCTTCTTATATCTGTGCACACATGTGCTGGAATACCTATCTGGTAGAAGACTCCCACCATGAACAACCAGTGTGTACATTTCAAATGTGGACAGAAGGCCCTCACGGGCAGCTCCAGCCCCTCCTCTCGACTGTGTCTGAAACATTGCTGTCATCACTCCGCTGAGCTGTTCCAACCTTCAGTGTCTCAACTGTGCAGACACTGGAAAACGATCACTACTGGACACCTTCACCAACCTAAAGGGTTTCTTGGTGTTTCAATGACATCTTAAATTCCGAACAAGGCACAGCAGCTTTCTACTTATTTTTAGTTTCTTTTCCTGTGAATTTCCTATTCACGTCCTCTATCTTTCTATCAGATTTGTCCTATAATCATTACTGTTGATTTCTAAGAACTCTTTGCATATTAAAGAAATCAGCCCTTTGCCGTTGCATTATTAAAAAGGTTGCCACATTTTAAAAAGTCTCCCCGGGAATTGTTCCAGCTTAGTGTCAGTCCTGGTAAAAGTATCAGCATGCCAGAGTATGGATGGAGATGGCTTTGTGGGACAGCCATGGCTCTCCCTGTCCTGACAGCCCCAGAGATCTCCTGGGCTGGAGCTGGGGCTTTAGTACTCTCGACAGCCCGGCCTCCCAGCACTCACCACAGGTCAGTGGGCCAGGTCCCAGGGGTCATCCTTGGCTGCTCTCTTTGTGACCAGCCAGGGTCGACTGCCGGTCCCCAACAGGCTCTGGCAGGACTCAGCAGAGCCTGTACCAGGCTCATGGGCTTCCTTCCAATGGCTACTCTGGACTGAATGGGGAGCAGTGTGCATCCTGTGATCAGGGACCACAGACACATGTTCCAAAGATGTGAATCCAACCCTGGACCCAGCTCTGCCTGCTCTCTCCTCTGAGACCCAGCCCCTGCCTCCAACCCAGGAGAACCTGACCCCACAACCCAGTGATCGTCTTGCTAGGAGGCCATGGTGGGGCCTGAGGCTCGCTGCTCTGTGACAGGGGTAACCCCATCTGAGGACTCAGGCCCATCTGAAGGCTAGACCCTTGGCCTTTGCAGCCCCTCCATCAGCCTTTCTGGGTACCGACCCTGCTCCTTGATCCCCTGCCCTGTGCTCAGACCTCCCATCTCCACCCACCCCCAAGGGTCTCAGCCACATTCATACCCTCTAAGCACACATGGGAATCCAAGGGGCCCATGCATACTCCTCTATCCGTTCAGGCCCTCCTTGCCCTTAACCTCTGCTTCACCCCACCTTCCTCCTTGACAGCCCCACCTGCCAATCTCCTCACTGTCCTGCACAACCCACTCCTATCTAGAGCCTCCATCAGCAAAGGCTCCAGGCAGCTCTGGTCCCCACACTGCACAGCCTATGCTGAAGACTCAGGGCAAGACACAGGAAATGGCAAAAGCTCCAGTAGACCAACGTTCACCCTGGGGGTGGCTCGCACAGCACATTCGAGGTTGAGACCTTGCTCGTGACCACCTGGGCAAAGGGCACCATGAGCCAGGGCCCCGACACTGCTCATTCTGAGTAGAAAAGACCCAAACAGTGACCTCTCTCCCCCAGGGCCAGCCAGAGACACGAGGCTCTCCCCTCACTCCCCAGGTGGCTCCCGCCATAGACAGACACTTGGTGTGGCTGGCTTAACAGTGTCTGGCTGCAAAAGAAAGCTGCCTTTCGTCTGGCTGGACCTGCCCCATCTGAGGAGACGCTCTGCCGAAAACATGGACAACACTACATAAAAGCAACGTCAATGCAGCGGACTTTCCACTGTAGTGCTGCCAACATTCAGAGGGACACCAGTCTGAGCATCACGTAACCGCCGACATTCCTCTGGACTTACTTGATCCCCAGAGCAAATCCTTGAGTAACTTCGCCTGCGTTGGGGCCGAGGAAGTGCAAGCCCAGCACCAGCTGTGGGGGCTCCCGTAGGCACACCATCTGAAAGCCACATTGTTAGCTGCTGCCTGGCTGGAGGCAGGACTCCGGGGCTGCGCACGGCCTAGCCCCTGGGGCGTGTGTGGCTATGTGCGAGGTTCCCCCACTTGGGCCCTGCTCTTTCCCTCCCTCTCACTACCTGGCATGCCCTAGGCCACGCTCATGAAGATACTCACCTTTATGTAACACTGGGACGAATCCCGTTCAGCCACTGTGAACTCCAGTGGTTTATAATAGGCGTGATAAACCTGGTGACAAGATACCAATTCCTGGAGTTAGCAGTTGCAGCAAATCAAGCCCCGTGGGCACTTTCTAGGTCCAATAGGCTGTGCGGGTGCAGCAGGAACCCAGAACCTCCCACTCGGCCTGCAGGTTGTGGTCTGGGGCCAGGATATGGCTCAGCTGGCGTGGACAGTACCCCTCTCTCTCATGCATAGGCAGCCTGTGGTCGGAGCCACACTGTCTGCAGGACAGAGCCTCTCCCATCCAAGCTGAGGCCTCCATGAACAGAGTGGGCAGCAGGTTGGCCAAGCACCGCCCGCTGTGATTCGTCACAGAGCCCAAGGGTCAGCACAGAGCATGGGCACCGCCCTGGAGCTCAGACTAGGCAGACACAGCAGAGTGGACAGGGCGACCTCAGCAGTGGGGGGCAGGAGTGGGTTAGCGGGCGGCCATCTGGCCTCCCTCAGGCACCCTGGTGCTTGCTGGGTCCTCAATTGAGCAGAGAGGAGGGGGCAGGCGCGGGGCAGCCCCTGGCCCACACCGGAGCTGTCGGACAAAGGCTTTCAGCACCCGAGAAGGTCTCGACAGTGTGTTCGGGGCTGCGGCCGAGTAAAAAATGAGCAGGGCCCTCACATGTGCTACACAGCCATTATTAATTAATGGAGCTTCAGAGAATATTGTTCTAACTAAGACAGAATTGAAAAGAAAACAAACAAAGGGTATTTGGCCATTCAACATTGTGAAACATAAAACAACATTATAAAATGCCATGAACATATGTCCCAGTGTACTTGTGATGAATCAAACAAAAATAGCAAATAAAGTGCTGGGGGGAAGGCCAGCCTGTCAGGCCTTGCCTATTGATGGAGGGGACTGGGGCTCTGGGGCAAGGGGCAGGCCCTGGAGTCCAGTGACTCATTCCCAAAGGGCACCGAGCCCGGCTATTGTGGCCACATGGGGTCCGGTTTCTAACCAGTCTGCCTGTAAGTTTCTGCAGCAGCAAGAGAAAGCCACACTGAAGGTTTCCAGCATCGAAAGTCTCCCCGCATCCTGCTGGGCCACCTGGGGCATGCTTTGTAGCCACCCCCAGGCCACAGCCGGCTGGAGCAGACCCCAGAAACAGCCTTGTCTGATGAAAACCCCCTGCCTCCTGGGTAAGTACCCAATCTGGGCTGTCAGGGACATTCAGGGGCTGGGAGGATCTCAGAAGGGAAATAGAGGCAGGGACTGGCGTGGGGCTAGGGTGGGGTGAAGAAGCTGAGACTGTGGGAACCATAGGGAGAGTCACAGGAAAGCAAGGTACCTGGAGGCAGGGACAGGCCAGGGCAGGAGGTCAGGGGACAAAGGGAGCAGAGGTCGGAGGGCAGGAGAAGCCTTCTAGGTCTAGGGAGACATGTGCCTCTGTGAGGTGGGCTACACACAAGGGCTCCCTAGTTTCTGGGGTTGCCCTGTAATACTCCCATCTCACAGGCCCCTTCCCACATTGTTCTGGGTCCCCATGTCCCACCCTGCTCCCGCCCTGTCAGGGTCCTGCTCGCCTGCTGGGCCTCTGTCGGGGAGGGGGTGTCATGGGGCATGAGTATCACACAGGCGTCATGTTGTGGCACCCCCTCAGAGCCCTGATTTACCTCCACATGCTCCTCTCCATGGCGTGCCACAGCCTCCTCCTCTGACAGCCCCACACAACCATATTCCAGTGGAGTGAAGACTGTTGTGGGGACCTGGAAAGCAGGTTCTGAGTCAGGCACACTCCTGAGGACCAAAGATCGAGGATCCCCACTTGGGCCAAGTCCCCAGCTATGCAGGCTGGCAGGTCACAGGACAGTGGGTAGACTCACTCACTTGTTCCGGGGCCACACCCACAGAGCTAAACCTCACACGTGTGCATGCACACACATGCACGCACATGCAAAGAGGTGCACATGCACCCACATGAATGCACATGCAGATATGCACACACAGACACCCACATGCACGCACACGCTGATGAGTACACATACACCCATATGCACGCACACAGACATGCACACATACACAGGTGTGCATGCACACCCCCTCACATGCACACACACAGACATGCACGCACACCGCCACATCCCAGGACGAGCCTCAGCCTTTTCCAGGCTGGACCTAGCCTTGCAAAGAGCAGCGAGCACTCACGTTGTCGTAGTCCATTAGGTCTGAGGACTGGCCGCAGAGCCGCTGGGCCAGGAGCCTCCCTGCCATGATAGCTGTGGGTGTCAGCTCAGGTCGCCCCTGACAAAGGAAGGAGGAGCACAGGGTTAGTTTGGCACAATGTCTAAGGGAGTCCGTGCAGTCCCTCCACCACTATCCATTGCCTTCCTAATGAAGCGTCTCCCTTTCAGAAGCTCCCAAATGCTATCTGCCGCTGGGCCTCTGCAGTGAGACAGCAATGCCCAGGGCCCTCGGGGGGTCTGCTGGTCCCCTCCTTGCTCCCTCTGTGCTGTTCTGGGAGACACCTGTGGTGACGACCCTTTCCCCAGCAGAGAAGTGAGCTGCTAATAAGCCCACCACAGTACCCACACTCACTTGTGGCTTCTCTCTGAACCCCTTGTTCATGTCAGTGACCTTGAAGAGCTTCCTCCTCAACAAAGCTCAAGAGAGATCCTGCTACTGGTCAACCATTCGCATGCACTGGGATTTAGGCTAAAATGGGCCCTGGAAGCATTCTGTGTGCTCCTGACATGCAGCTCAACTTGCATGTCACAGCCCATTACAAATCCCAAATCAGACACTGCTCTGTCCCAGGGTGTGTCCTGCTGGGGAGTGTGTGTGTGTGGGGGGGACACGGCCCCCAGCGTTCCTGCACGCGTCGGCCTGGGACCAGCTGCCAATCACCTCTGCAGCAGCAGGAAATGCAGATGTTGTTTGACATTCCAGAAATGAATGGAGATCCACAGAGATAACTCCAGAGAGCAGGCTGTGCATTCCACCGAGCCTGGCTAGGTGCGGAAACCTCCAGGCACACACGCACAATATCGCACTAAACAATGGCTGCCCGCGGACCACTGGGGCGTTAACTCTTGTGACTGCTCTGAATGACCTTTCCAAGTGAGTAGACTGAATGTCTGAATAAATAATGCTATTGCGTGTACCATATGTTTCTAGCAACATAGCCTGAAATATGGTTTGCTATGCTGGCACGAAACTCAGGAGGCTTTGGGCTATGGCCCATCTCACAGGGACATGTGTCTTCCTAAACTGGGAAAGCCTTCTCTTGCAGCTGACAGAACTCCAACTTGCCCAGCTCCCATGGTGGGTGGAGAGTGTCTGTGATATGAACAGCACTCTCTCCCAAGACCACGGTGCTATTTTAGGGTGCAGCTCACAGGATGAACACAAAGGCCACTACCAGAGAATGCCACGTCCAGGCCATCAGAGATCACACTGAACAACTGCACTGCCAGGCTACGAGGACCAAATCCACGGGAACTCCAGGACATGTAAAGCTACTCATTTCCATACACAGCAACAGGCCAATCAGATGGTCAAAGATGGCCTGGCATGAAGACCGGCCAGAGCTCTAACCACACGCCCCAGCCAGGCTGTCCCCGCAGTCCCTCCTGTGCTCGGTGGTCTGTGCCCTATCTATCATTTCATGAGCCTGGGTTCCCAGGGGGCCTGCGGGGCTCAAGAGGCAGTCACTTGGCTCACATCTGAGCATTAGTCATGGCTGGTGGGTGACCCCTCTGGTACACCGGCGGTACCAGGGACCCTGTTGCCCCAGCAGGATGGGTCTACATGGGGATAGGTGTCTGGCAGGGCAAATCAATGCCAGACACGCAGGCTGCCCCTTCAGAAACAAAGGGAAAGCCCAACCTTGTATGTGCGCCTGCCCTGGCCTGTCTCCATGTGGCCACGCTCTCTCGAAGCCCTCAAAACAGAATGACCACAGCAGAGGCTGGCAGGTGACACTGAGGGAAGAATGGTCCCACAGTATCAGTGACAACTGCCACCTGTGTCCTCTTAGCTCCAGGATGCCCCACCCAGGGATTCACTTGCCTTAGATGCTGACTTCCCTATCCCCAGGCATTTCACAAAGTGGGTTCTGGGGTGTGCGTGGGCATGAGCATCCTTGCTGAGCTCCCCATGCCCCTTCTAGCTCTGCTGCAGCCCAGGGGCCCCTCATTGCCACCGCCCCCATCCCAGGTCTCTCCTGATCCCTGGCACTAAGCACCTTCTGAATCTGAAATAGTTGACCTATTTGTCACTGGTGATCCCTACCAGCATGTCACCTCTACAAGGACTGGGGGTTTTGTCTGTCCCTGCAGTGGCCCCAGAACCCAGAAAACTGCCACAATAATGGACATTCAGTCAGTACATAATGAATAAATGTAAACTAACACATCATGGTAGGTCTAATAGCATCCCCTCCAAATTCACCTGTGTCTGGAACCTCAAAATGTGACCTTACTTGGAAAGAAGGGTCTTTGCAGATATAATGAAGGTAAAAATGGAGATGAGGTCATACTGGATTAGGGTGGGCCCTAAGTCCAATGAGAGGGTCCTGGTAAGAGACAAACAAGGACACATGGACACCCGAAGAAGACGGCCCTGTGAAGAAGAGGCAACAACTGCAGTGTTGCAGCTCTACTCCTGCAATATCTGAGGCCATCAGAAGCTAGAAGAGGTGAGGAAAGATCCTTCTAGAGGCTTCAGAGAAAGCACGGCCCTGCTAACACCTTGATTTCAGAATTCTGGCCTCCAGAATGAGAGAGAGTAAATTTCTGTTGTTCTCAGCCACCTGGTTTGTGATGATTTGTGATGGCAGCCCTGGGAAACTAATATACAGGTTGATGACGCTGCCAGGTCTCATAGCCAAGAGGCCTGGCAGGGCCTGGGGGGGCCGAGTGCCCCTCTTAGTCCCCTTTGACCAGGGACCCTCCTGAGCCTCCTTCCTCAGGATGTGCTGCACACATATAGGAGAGGCCAACTGTTCTTGAGGCTTTGGGGGTACAGGGGCCCAACAACTGACCAGCTTCAGGTCTTGCTGGGGGCCCGTGAAGAGGGGAAGAGGGGCATTGACTAGATGCCCCTAAGCAGGGGGACAGGGCTTCCACTAGGGATTCATAGGGTGGTGTGTGCCACGCTTTCCAGGACAGAGAACAGGCAAGACCCTGAGTGGGGCCGGGAAAATCCAGGGAGAGTACTGATTTGCCCACAGATTAGAGGGTAAACTGAGATGAGGAAGTCAGGCCTGGTACTGTGGGGCCATCATGGCCCCAAGGTGGTGCCAGCAGCAGCATTTCTAAAAGTCCGGCATCTCCAGCCCACTTGAGGGGAGGTTGAGGCCTGTGCTGTTGTGCGTGTGAACAGATGTCCACCCCTGAAGCTGACACAGAGGAGGTTCACGACAGGAATTTGCTAAGGGAGCTCTTAGCCATTTTTAAGCCTTCCCCACCTGCCCTCCACAAAAAGGAAGAACATACAAGAGAGCAGAAACTGATGCCCAATTCTTCCCGGAAATCAAGGCTTAAAAGCACCTGGGGGGCCGGCCGAGTGGCGCGATGGTTAAGAACTCGCTTGGGATGCCAGAGGGCCCCGGTTCGGATCCCACATATGAGGGCCAGTGACACTGCCCTCCGCAGCTGAGATGCTGTACAACAGCTCAACCTGGAGCTGGGCTGCCATGAGTCGCCGGCGACGGCGTGGGCTGCAGTCCCTGTGGCAGTGGGTTGCCATGGGCTACCGTGTGTGGCCAGCAGCCAGCGTGAGCGGCCAGCAGCCGCAGTGAGCGGCCGTCCAGAAGCCGGCGACTGATCTGCCTCGCCAGAGAAGAGCGCAATGATGGTGCCAACTTGGGCCAGTGAAGCAACATCCTCCACAACTAGATTGAAGAACAAAACGACAGCAACTTGTCCGTTCCCCTTCCCCCAACTCCCCAGCACTGTTCCCATCCTCCCAATTCCCCAATAAAAATCTTAAAAAAAAAAAAAAAAAGCACCTGGGGTTTGGCCCAGAGCTTCTGTGAGTGACGTGTGTCCCTGAGGCCCAGCTGGGGTGGGTGGCCAGGGTGGGGGTCAGGCAGTGGGCACAGGCCGTACCTCTGCTGCATCTCCGATGGCATAAATGTGGGGGATGGAAGTGGCTTCCCGAGCATCAACCAGGATCTTGTGACTATTGGGGTTGGTGTTTACTCCAGCCTTCTCCAAATTCAGGCTTCTGGTTTCTGGAACACGACCTGAAGGAAATAAAGAGCAAGGCTGAAAGGTTTTCTTTAGCGGTTTTGACCAAGGTCCCTTGGTTTATTTAAAATACTTCTCAGAATGTCCACTTAGAATTGGTAAAACATCAAACACAAACATCGTCAAGGGGCTCCTGGCCTCTACGGGCCTCAAACACACACGCATGTATGGTGCGCGCACGCGCGTGCACACACACACGCGCGCGCGCGCGCACACACACACACACACACCCCTACATTTGCATGAAGAATCAATGAAAGGATGAAGCAGGACTAGTAGAAATTGTGAGCTACAGAAAGGGAGGAAACGTGAGGGGAGATGGGAACGGGACTTCTCTAAGCAACCCCTGTAATACAATTTTCTTTTTTTAATCCTATACACAATTTATATATTCAAAAATAAAATTAAATCAAATTGAAAAAAATCCCTATGACCTGTCAACAACCTGAAACAAAGGGCCCTGATGGTCTATGAAGTTGGTAACAGAGCAATAGAAAGACAATTTGTTTAAGAGCCTGTAGGAACCCACATTTTAACTAAACATCCTCAGAGGGTTATGTTCTAACAATAAATGAGCTGCAAATAGATCTTATGTGTCATTCAAAGAGGACAGTTAAAACTCTGTAATGTTACATTTGAACTGGAAATTCATGATTTTTAAAAAAAATACAAAGTTCCTGGCTCTGACCACAGAAAGCTCTAGAAGCAGTGATGACCCCAAGAGCAACGTGCCTCCAGACTGTGATCTCTAAACCCCTCCTCACTGAAGGGGCCAGCCCACTCCAGGCCTGGGTGCCTTATGGATGTGACAGAGCAGCCACGGTAACAGCGTGACAGGGCCATGCAGCTGCTAAAGGCATCCTGCCCCAAGGGGACGACACATAATACACACAACCTAGGCCACACGCAGAAGCTGTGGCTCCTCTCCTGTGTATGCATTTCCTGGCTGGGGGTGTCTCGGTCTCCGTGGAGCCTGCCTCTGGGCCCCAGGTGAGCCAACAGCCTTACGAGTCTCCATTCCTGGGGTGCGGTGACCTCCTTCCCACTCTCTCCATGACCCTAGGGCTCTCTCACTCCCACACCACACTCCTGCAGATTTGTACTAGGGGCAGGAGAGCATTTCATGGTAGGTTTACGCTTCTATCCTGCCACCAGATTGTGCATGGATAGGCTATGGCCTTGTGTCCCCAGAGTCTGGCAGGGGGATGTCCTCCGGTAGCCACATAGAGGGGAGCCGACCCAGTGCAGGCAGTGAGAATGTACGAACTCATGCCCTGCTCAGGGTCTCAGGACAAGCCCCCCAACCGCCTCTCTGCAAAGCCAGCACAGGCACTGAGCAAGCGGGGCTAGAAGCCAGGCCTTGTGGCAACTCCATGCTACAAAGCCCTCAGCTCCACATCTCCTGTGTGCCCGTGGCACTTGTCCAGCAGAAAGCCCTAGCTTTCAGCCCCCAGGTCCTGAGAGAGGACCTGGGCTGATGGGCAGAGCACACCACACCTACCCTTGGTGCACTCGGCTTGGCTAATCTTGCTCTTGGATGCAAAGGCCAAGAGGGACAGATGATAGCAGTTCCCAGGGGTGTCAGCGCTGCTACCTCCCTGCTGGGCTCCATATACTTACAGCCCTGAGCCTCATCACAGCTGAGCTGCCAGCTTTCTGTCTAATTCAGACGTGGCCTTGCTGAGCCAGGGCGTGGCAAAGGCAGTTCTTCCTGCCTGACCCTAGGAGGGCAGTGGGTGGCCCCTCAGGGACTCCAGAGGCTCAGGGCAATCCCTTGAAGGCAAAGATGAATGGTTTCAAAGGTTTAGTTCCCATAGCTCGTGGCGGCTCAGACACATGAGAGGTCGGATAACGGGTGGTGCCAATCTGAACATCTGGAAGACCAAGCCCTGTGAAAGGGAAACCTCGTCTCCAGCTGCTCTCCCTGAGTGGGAAGTCAAAACAGAGACTTGGCTAAGCCGTGCTTCTCAAGTTCGTGGGGAGCAGGCTCCAGCCTCTTCACTCTGCTTGGCCACAGGAATCAGGTGCCAGGCAGGCTGGCACCCATTGCTGATCAAGCCAGACATGGGTGACCTGAGGCCTTGAGGTCCCTTCTGAAGCTGGCACTAGAATCGTGTGATTGGAGACCCATGAGCGTGCAGAAAGGGACATGCCACCCTGGCCAGTGTCCTTCCCAGGTGGCCTGGGGGCCTGACTCTCAGGAGCCCTTGTGCATTTGGGAAGGGACTGGAACACGCTGAGCCTCAGCAAGGAAGGAGCTGGGCCCCGTGGGCAGGACTGGTGGGGGTCTGCTGGGTGGGCTGAGGGTTCCTACAGGCACAAGGCTCATAGCTCAGCCCTCTTGTTCCTCCCTAGGCCCCTGGTTCTGGGGAGCACTGCATATAGCAGCTCACCGGGTCAACCTGCTGATTGCTCTGGGCTGGGGCTGGAGTGTCTGAGAGCAAAGCTGGCGGCCCGAGACCAACCTGCTCTGATGCCAACCACACTGCTCCTGAGCTCTCCCCTGTACTCCTGCGTGGCCAGTAACAGGAGGCGAAGGGTTTTTCCTTGTGTGCCTTATGGTAACCATGGTAACAACACACCTTGCAGATGCCAGCCAAACCGCATCCAAGGTCCTGAGGAAAATACTGTAGTCCCCCCTCATCCACGGGAGATACATAACAAGACCCCCAGTGGATACCTGAAATCACGGGTAGTACTGAATCCTATAAGTACTATGATTTTTCCTATACATACACACCTTTTCACTTATAGAAAACAATTTACAGCTTCTCTTTGGCATATTCGAATTGCCAGCATCACTACTCTTGTGCCTTGGGGCCATTATTAAATAAAACAAGGGTTACTTGAACACAAGCACTGCGATACCATAAGAGTTCATCTGATAACTAAGACGGCTACTAAGTGACTAACAGGTGGAGAACGTACGACGTATACAGCATAGACACGCTGGACAAAGGGATGATTCACATCCTGGGCGGGATGGAGCGGGACCGTGCGAGATTTCATCATGCTACTTAGAATAGCATGCAATTTAAAACTTATGCATTACTTCTGGAATTTTCCATTTAATATTTTCAGACTGACGCTGAGTGTGGGTAACTGAAACAGCGGAAAGTAAAACCATGGATAAGAGGGGATTATTGTAAAGATAAATTTAAAAGTAATAACAGGAGACAACAATAAATGCATGAATTAGGTGGCCTCCATAGTCCATTTTGAAGCCAGAATTTTTAAGGACATGCTAGGTACCTAAACTTGGAATGTACATGGGAACGTGTGAGTCAGGCCATTGATATAAATAAATGGATAGCTAGTTGGCTGGAGGGGGACAGGCGGCGGGGTTAAACAGTATAGCAAAGAAGATGCCTGCATGCGGTAAGTGCTCCACTGATTCTCCTAGAATGAACAGTGAAGGGAGAGGAAAGCCACACCAGGCAGTCAAATAGCCCTGAAAAGGGCAGCTGTGTCACATTGGGGTTTGGAACTGTGCCAGTAGGACATGTGCTAGGTGAGGCTTGGGGTGGGCAGGGGCCACACTCCAGAGCTGTGGCAGGCTCCACCAGCCCCACAGGGCCACAGCCAGGACACCGGGCCCAGAGCCCCCACCACAGGCCTCACTGAGCAAACAACCTAGGCAGTGGTCATGGAGGAGGAAGGGACATGTCCCTTCCTGAGTTCTGTTCCCTTGTGCTCAGAGCAGGGCTGCATCTCCCCTCAGGTGCCGGGGCTCAGTCAGATAGTGCGGCCCCCACTCAGCTCAAGCCTGGAGTCCCAGAAGAGGGGAGGAGAATGGGTGCTCTGGTGGAACCCAATGGCCGGCCACACAAGCAGGGCAGCTCCACTACATGAACAATGCCCAACCCAGGCCCAGACCAACATAAATGGCACAAAGCAAGATACAGGCAAGTGTACCAAGTCATCTCCTTGACCATCTTCCTTTTATCCTATGCAAAAATAAAGGTAACACTCCTCAGGCGATTTAGGGGAAGAGGGGAACGCCATCCCCATCCATGTCACACACAGCACTTTCCCCATCCCAGCATAGCAGGCCACCTACTCAACATCCCAAGGACTAGCTCCCCTTTTAGCCTGGTCTCTTGGCACCCAGCTTGGGTTTTAAGTGCCGCCGAATGGCTCCCCTAGGTGGAACTTCCGAAAGCTTCCAAATCTCTGCTCCCTGGACACCACCAGGATGGAGATGGCAGTTTGTTCACATGTCAGTTTAGTTCCTTGGGGCAGGCCCTCAGAGGAGTGCCACTGGCCAGTGAGGCTGCCAGAGCGCAGGGCAGGGCTACACCCCCATGGCTCCTTCTTAGGCTCTGCTTCTTCCCAAAGGGGGAGGCGGCTCAGCGCTGATCTTTGATTACTAGTAAAATTAAGTATCTTTTGGCTACACACTGATTAACTGTTATTTCCTCTTATAACTTGTCAGTTCATACATTTCCTCATTCACATAGACATTTTCATGACTTTCTTGCCTTGTAAGAGCTTTTTATGGAATACACGTAGGACACTCTGCCATTGTTATCGCAAACAATAAGGACATTAAAATTCCAGGTACAAACAGACATTTTCACTTCCTCCTCAAAGGCTACATCCGCATAAATGTGTCAATGGGCCACACACCTCTGCCCTTGGAACTGCCTCTCTCACCAGGCCCGGCCTTGTCTGCTGGCTGGAGTCCCTCAGGGGGACCATGTGACCCCCTGGTGTCTCTGAGGTAGGACAGTCCCTCTCTCCCAGCACCCACACCCAGGGCACCCCTGAAGTGGTGGCAGAATCAGCATTCAGCCCAAGTGCTCTCGGCACAGCTGGACCAGGCCAGTCCTCCTCTGATGGCACTGGGAGCCCCACCAGCTGCTGCTCACCAGCCCCCGCACTCACCCAGCCAGCTGGAAAGGGTTGAAGGCCGAAAACGCCCAGATGGCTGCTGATGGTCATCACTACCTGCTCTGCTGGGCACAGGAATGCGGACAACTGGGCACATGCAGTT